TGGGGTCTCTTTCATAGATGACACAGCATCGCCATGGCTTGGTGGGGGGGGAGACCTCAAAAAAATCACTGGAGACCATCCTAGCATTGATAAGGTCTTGGTTCAAATCTGATCTGTATCCTAGTAGTTGTCAAGTGATGCTCTAAAGTCAAATCTCTTTTGGATTTTATTTTCTCACGTATAAAATAAGGATTTTTTAAAAAAAATACTTTATTTATTTATTTGAGAGAGAGAGTGAGAGAGAAAAAGAGAGAGAGATCATGAGCAGGGGAGAGGGGCAGAGGGAGACGCAGACTTCCCTCTGAGCAGGAAGCCTGATGTGGGACTTGATCCCAGGATGCTGGGATCATGACCTGAGTGGAAGACAGACAGTTAACTGACTGAGCCACCCAGGTACCCTAAAATGAAGATTAATAATACCTACCTTATTTGGTTATTGTGAAAGTGTCTAGCACATAGCAGGTACTTGAATCTTTAAAAAAAGTCTTCACATAATTACCTAAACTTTGCACATCTTCAGGGTATTTGTTCCTACACTTGTTCATTCACTCATTCATTCAGTAGATATAATGAATCTTCTCTACACCTGGGTCTGTAGTAGGTAAGTTGGAGTGGGCCTGGGCAGGATGACACAAACGTAATCCCTGCCCCCATTGGTCTCACAGTTTGGAAGAAGAAACAAAAGATAGTCAAAAGTATCTTCAATTCAAGAGAATGAAAATGTATATTATGTAGTTGCATATAAATTTGACTTCCATAAAATTGGATTTTCTAGAATGATCCTAATGTCAAATATTGTGTCTCATTCTTACCGTAAAGGGTTCCATCCATGTCAGAACATGGGTCCTGACTTCAAGTTCATGCAGAAATTTCATCTCAGAAATAAATAACAGAATAGAAGAGCACCAAGGAGACAGAGACCCAGAGCAGAGACCCAGGATTTCACACTTAGTGACTCTAAACTGGCAATCATAGTATGAGAGCATGGCCTTTTCCTTGTCCATTCCTCTGCTTTTAGGCAGATGATTTGGGTCAACCATTAAAGAGAAAGTGCATCAGCCCTGTCCTCCTGGAGCTTCCAGCCTAGTTAGGGACACAAGCATAATACCACTAGTAGCCTGTTAGAAATATGTGTAACTTCCAACCATTCTCACTTTGCTGAACTTTGCACATGCCACACCCTCTGCCTGGAATGCTCTCTGAGGACTTGATTTTTGGCCAATGCGCATCCCTTCTTCAAGGTTCAGGGCAACTTGAAAACTCCAAGAGGGAAAGATTGGGTCCCATACAAATATCAAATGTTGAAAAAGGCATGCAATTAACATTAAGATATTGGTACCCCTTGACTATTTGGTGTTTCTTTTTAAAACTATCAATCCTTTCCCTAGAATATTTTGTTTTCTTGGTATTTTATCAGAAATGTGTGCTTCCTCCAAGTTCTTAACTTTGGGGATAAAGCCCAATTTGTGATGCTTTAAAATCATATAATGATATTATAGCAGCATTATTCATAATAGCCAAGATACGGAAGCAGCCCAATGTTCACTGATAGATGGATGTATAAAGAAGATGTGGTGTATATTTACGCAATAGAATATTATTCAGCCATAAAAAAGAATGAATTCTTGCCATTTACCACAACATGAATCAAGAAAAACAAATACCATATGACCTCACTTATATGTAGAATTAAGAAACAAAACAAGCAAAGGAGAAAAAAGGAGAGAGACTAACCTAGAAATAGACTCTTATCTATAGAGAACAAGAGGGCAGGCGGGTCGGGGGATGGGTAAAATGGGTGATGGGAACTATGGAGTGCACTTGTCGTGATGAGCACAGGTTGATGTACGGAATTGTTGAATCACTATGATGTACACCTGAAACTAATATGTTAACTAACTGGAATTAAAATAAAAACTTAAAAAGTAAAAAATGAATAAATAAATAAATAAATAAATAAAATAAAAGAAGAAGAAGAAGAGCATGGAGCCCTGGGAGGGGAAGTGACTGTCTCAAGATGATATAGACATTAGAGGTCTGTACCCTGGCCCCTAGCTGGGCAGGGCTCCTGCATCTTTACTAAGGTTTTTCTTTAGTAAATACCCACCTACTGACAGACTGTTACCATTAGAAATGTTCTTTTAAAAATCAGCTCAAAAAGTACCCAGCACAGGTACTGCTCACTAAAGAGTCTCACCAATGCTTTAGCTTCTAAAGAGCTCCAGGATTCTTTGAAGCTTAAGTGACCTTTGAGTCACCAGCTACACTATTTTCATCAACAGGTTGGATCAAGGTGTTGATCTTTCAGGATCTTTTGCCTATAATACCTTCTCTTAAGTTTTGAATCTCACTTTTTTGAATGAAAGAGGCTACCTGGAAGCAGCATGGCCAAATGGGAATACCAAGGGTCCTGGGAAAATTGACCTGGATTCTAGTCTGGGCCCTGTGGAGTACCAAGTAGGTGACCTTGAAGGAATGGCTTACCTTCTCTGACATTCAGTGCCAGAAAAATGGAATCCACCTATGTGCCTGGATGGTTGTAAGAACTCGATCATATGAGATTGGAAAATTCTTGGGAAAGAATGGAATGTTCATTCAACAACTAACTCCTCGATGTCTACCATTGTCCAGACTCTTGTCAAGCATAAGAATACAAACCTGAATAACACATCATCCTCACCCTTGAGGAATTCATGGTCCAGTGGGAAAGACAGACTCAATAATTACTATATCTTGTGCTGTAGCCACTCTGATGGGCTGGGTGGGAGGTGGTGGGGAGCAATGGATGCCGTGGGAGCAGAGGAAAAGTACCTATCCCACATTTGCAAAGAGTAAGTCAGCAGGTCTTCCTGGAGGAAGTGATATTTAGATTTAGATGATTTCAACAATATGACAATCTCCACCACTGCCAGTCATCACTGGCTGCCATTTATTCAATATTCATTCTGTTCTGAGGATTCTGCTGGGCCATTAGTAGTTCATGTTCACAATCCAGAAAGTCAAGGTTGTTATCCTCATTATACATATGATAAACCAGAAGACCAAAGGGGCTTTTTAAAAAGAAAATTTAAAAGGTCACCAATCAAAACTTAAACCTAACTGTGACTTCCAGAGCTCCTGCTCTTCACAACATAGCCTTACGGTTCTGTGTGACTCTGTGAGGCAAGGATGAGACTAGTGCAGGAAGTCACTGGGAAGACAAATTTCAGCTACAGAGAAGGAAGACTTTTCTAGTGGAGCTGTCCAAGAATGAGATAAGTTGCTTGGGAAGGTGGTGATCATCAGGTCATAGAAGTATCATGGAGCAAGGCATTGCTTAGGGCATTCTTAATATTTACGTATTGAAGGCAGAGGAGAAGTAGGTAAGCTAACCAATATCTTAAGCTTGCAGTCATTTGTGATTAAGTCCTGTTGTTAAAAGTAACATTCCATTCTAAATTTTTAGATGCTGAGTAAAAGCTGGAAGAGTTCTGTGGGCATAGCACCCAGACCAGTGGTTCCATCTGTTTGGTGACCAGCCTCTGGGGTTTAATATAAATTAGGCTACAGAGCTATATAGTTAGGCATACTTTCTGTTAAAGAAACAAGGACTAACTCCAGCCACTTAAGCAAGAAGGGAATTTATAGGAAGGGCCACATTTGGAAAACAAACAATTAACAGAATAGCCCTGGAGGGCAGAAGATTGGCTGTTGGCAGCAATAATCTACCTCTTTCCATGGTACTGAGGCTGTACACCGGATTCCCAGCCTTGTATCACCTAGTCGAAGTTTAAGTCATGGAGGGAAGTGACTGTTGCCACTGAGTCTGGTTTCCTGTTGCTGTCGCTGGCAGATCACAAAGAGGGAGCATCTGGCCATCTGTCTTTTGTGGTGGGAGAAAAGACACCACCATAGTCTCATCATCTGTCATGATGGAGGAGCAAACTCTCCCCGAACCTGTCCCCTCTAATCACAGGGTTAGATGTTAGGCATTCCCCAAAGAAAATGGGTAAATGCCTACTACACTAGGAGAGATCAGACAATGGTTATGAACTCAGATCTGCCTGACTCCTAGACTGGAGGAAAAGATAGACAGTTATCCCTGACCACTACTGTCTACTGCCCACCCCAGCCCATGAGCTGCAAACTTATTATTCTGAAACTCCGACAGGATGTAGCATAAAATGATAATAAAAAGTTCAATCAAACAGCAACATAATATTTTTAAGTTGCTATTATGTACCAGAACTCATGTTAAATGAAGTTACATGTGTTTATCTCATTTAATCCTCACAACATTGTCCTGAATTATAAATGGATACAAGCCTGTGAGCATATCTTCTTTCTTCTGTTAGACTATGTTTCTCAAATGAATGCAGTCTGCTTGTGTACCAATGCTGACATCACCTCTTTTCTCAAGCCATTTTTTATAACTTCCTTGTGCTTCAGTTTCCACATCTGCAAAATAGGAACACTAATAACACCACCACTAACAACACCACTAATAACCACATCATTAACTCAGGACCTTGGCCAGAGCTCAAGGTGCCATCAATGGAGCTGATAAAAGGGTGTTGGGCTCTGAATACATTTTGAAGGTAGAGACAATGGGTAAGCTGTGGGTGTGAGACAGAGAAGAATAATAGGGACACCAATGACTTCAGTCTGAGCACTTCCCTCTACTGCCCTGTATGAGAGATGTCCATGGGTCTGTGGTCTTAGGGCATGAACACTGAAGTCAGACTCCTCCACAGAAATATTTGAACCTCTCTGTGACTCAGCTTCATCTTATATAAAGTGGGAATTATAACAGTAGTAACTTTATAGGGTTGTTGAAAGCATTGAGTGAATTAATATATGTAAAATGTTTAGAACTGTCTCTGGCAAAAAATAATAATAATAAAAATAAATGCTAGGAAGGTGAGACAGGGACTACTTCTACTCCAAGCTGTATTTGTATTTATAAATGACAAGTTTGGCTTGTCCTGTTCATACTGACTCTGACTCTGGGTACTATCTAGGTGCTCTCTAATGGGGTTTGACCTGAACCGTCACTGGCTGGATCCTTCTCCGTGGGCCCACCCCACCTTGCATGGAGTGAAACAGCTCATCATCCAGATGTACAATGACCCAGTGAGTAACCAAACTCCCTCAGCACCTGCTGGTTTTAAGGCTTAATCTGGGAAAGAGCAGTGTTGTACTGGGAAATTCCAGTAGGAGCTCCAAATTAGGAGTACAGGGTCAAAACCAGGGTGAGTATGAGGCCTGCTGGTCTTGTCTTTAAATTGGATAGACCCAAGTACCTTCCAGTACCTCTCGCAAATATCAGGTTCAGTTGGGTTCAGGAGGTCTTCTGGGATAAAGGAAATATAGTGAAGCAGATTCACAGGGTTCTTTGGCTGTAAGCAAAAGAAATCTAATTTCAATTAGTTTACACAAAATAGAGAATTTATTACAAGAGTACGAGTGTATCTCATATAACTAAAGACTGTAGACTGGCCTTCTCCATCTGTAGGAGACATGGAGCCAAGTGTCACATCTGTTGGCTCCCACCACTGGAGAGTGATTAACTCTCATTTTCTAGTTCTAGTTCCAAAAGACTGTGACTGGCCCAGCCTGGGGAACCTGCCACCTCTGGGCAAGTCAACTCTGGCCCCAGAGGCAAGGATATGTAAGAATAGGACAGTCACATAGGAACCACATGGTTGGACTTGGGGGCTGTGGTAGTCATGGTGAACTTGTTCCTAGAGAAAAGGGCCTGCTAATCCAGAAAAAGGGGAATAGTGGGTGTCTATGCTGAGTTTGTTCATAGGGGCAAAACTTTGTAAGAAACAGGAAAAGACACAGGGGTTTCATAGGTTAGAGAAAGGAAACAGACCACAATCATTCTATCCCCAAAGAGCTATCAGAGAGGACAGGACAGACATCTCCTGCGTGGAGGACAAAAGAGGAGGTAAGGCCTATAGAGAAATAGAAAATTTTAATAATTAGTTCTGCCTAAAATGGAGTGGATGTAGGAGCTATGAACTTTGCCTTACTGAAAGGGTTCACCTTGAAGCTAAATGACACTATCAAAGTGATGCATAGAGGAGATTCAATTGTTTGGAAGATACTGGAGTGAGATGACATCTGAGTCTCTTCTAACTTTGATGACTGTGATTTCATGGCCCCTTGACTGCCGTAGCCCTGACATTTTTTCTGATCTGGCTGATAGTAAATATTCAATAAACTATTGGTAGAATGGAATTGAATTGAACATGGCAAATTCTCTTATGCCAACTTCAATATGATTTATAGATAGAAAACAGTTATTCACAGAGAGGACAATGAGGCATGATTTTAAAAAAAGAAACAGGATAGGAAAAGTGATAGAGTGGGAGCCACTGAAAAAAGGGGTGTTTTAGATGAATCCCTGAGGAGACAGCTGGGGGGTAGGGCATGGAGGAGGAACCAAAGGGAAAAGTTAGGTTTGCTAAAGAGAAGAGGCTTTAGCCTGCCATTGCTAACATCACTGAGAAGTCATTGATTCGCTCACAAACAACTGGGCACTCATCCATGCTACAGAACACAGATCAGCCAAGACTGAGAGAGAGGGGGATTTAGACCCTTTTTGTCCCACAAATAGGGTGCTCATCAGCTGGTTGGATCTTAATAAACACACTTAGAGCTTGTTGAGTAAGCTGTGTTCTTCCTGAAAGTCCACTCCTTTAAGACCGAAGCAAGGGCATGGAGCACCAACATGGGAGTCAAGCTGACCATGGGACTCATGGATCCCAGCTCCCTCCATATCTTTTCTCTTCCCCACTCCCCATCTCCATGCCCAGGCTTTCACTCCAGTCTTGCCTGCCTGCCTTCCACAAATACTTATTAAGTAGTTCCAAATACTAGGCATTGAGATATTTTCTAGCAGTGAACAAAACCCTAACCCTTGCAATTTGTGGGGGAGTAGACATTAAATAAGTAAATACTGATATATATAGATTTTAAAATTGCGTATGGAGTTATGGTGGCTGGGGTGGGGAAGCACACAAACTGTGACCTATGGATAGGATGGCTGTAAGTTTTGGCTTGCCTGGGGCAGTTCCTGTTGACACCTGTTGTCCCAGAGTATTTATTAATAGTACCCCCTTTCACTCTTAGAAGTGTCCCAGTTTACATGATAAATTATACTGTCACTCTACTTAAAAGCTATTAGAAAGCACCTAGCACAGTACCCGGCGTGTAGCACGTCCTCAACAAACATTATCTGGATTGGATTCAAAGTCACATTTGACTGTAAGTGGCATTGTGTCCAGTTGTAGATACTGTCAGTACCCAAGGGCATCTGCCCTAATAACCTGAAATGCTTTCTCCTCCTGACCTCCGCTGTTGTGTACGTCACCACAATCACTCAGGCCAGAGCTGTGTGAACTGCCACGACAGCTTCTGGCCTCATTTCTAAATGCTCACAGCCTCACTCCTCCATCCCAGTGGCCTTCTGCTTGACAGAGTCAGCAAGCAGAGAATCAGCAGACACTTGCTGGTGGACGGGGACTATATCCAGGAGCATCGCCCTTCCTCTCCGAACTCCTTCGGGTTCTATGCTGGTTTCTGGCAATCATCAGAGCTGCTGTCCACCCCTAAGAAGTTCCCAGCCTGGTGGAGACAGGCATTTACAGGCAGTTATCTCAAGTGCATTCATGGAGGAAGACACAGGGGCTGTGGGAGCCCATAGAAGGGACCCAGCTCAGGAGGCCACACCTGAGCTGATGCATGAAAGATTGCCAGGGCAGGGAGGGCTTTCCATGCAGAGGAGACATCTGTGCACCTGCCTTGAGAGGGAGGCACCCTCAGGAGCCGGCCAAGTCATTCAGTGTGGCTGGCACTAGGGGCAGACAGAGGGGCAAAGGGGGTTATGATACAGGGTGCAATTTGGAATTTATTCTCATGGGAATGGGGAGCATGGAAGGATTTTAAGCCGGGAGGTGACAGGATCAGGTTTGCATTTCAGAAAGACTCCTCTGGTGCTTGTAAGGGGGTGAACTTGGAGGATGCCAGGCTAGAGACTGGAGACCAGTAGAGCCTGTTGCTGTAGGGCTGGAAAGGCATTATGGAGGGGTGTGGGTAGCTTAGTGACCAGCTGATGGGACAGGAAGGAGGTTTGTATGATATCCATGGTTTGGCCTGGACAGTGGAGTAGATGTCGTCACCCCTCCTGAGATGGGAACTCAGGAGGGGCAGTGCACCTGTGGACAAGCTTTAGACATGGCGACTTTGAAGTTGAGCAGAAGTGATATGTCTAGTCTGCATTGTGAGTCTCAGGCATGAGCCCTTCTATGTTCTCACCTGGCAACAGGAGCCAGCTGTCCTGCATTAATGATGGCATTTACTTCAAAGGCGACTTTCCTAGACCTTTGCTCACTAAACCCTTACCCCCTCTCGGGACCTTGGAAACTAAATGATGCCCTTGACCATGGAGTGTTTTACCCAGAGGACCACACTGGATCTTAGTTATAAAGTGGTTTAGTTATGAAGTGGTTTATGCCCCACTCCTGGGGCACTCCCTGTGGACAGCGTGGCCTTTGTTTACTAGTTGTGATGGACTGTCCCTAGGCAGGGTCTGGCTGATGGATCTGAGAGTCACCAGTGCCCAGCAGGGACCTGGCTCTGAGCAGGTACTTAGAGTAAATGCTAAGCAAATGATGAAGTAAACCAGAGCTTCTGTGAGTTGGTTTTAAAAAGATTTCCCTGATGAAAAGAAGCAACCAGACCACACACCTCTCCCCAGTCTCAGCTCTCCCTCAGAGTGTCCCAGATGCTAGTGCCACCATTGCTGTGCCCTCTTTTACTTCAGGCTCTGGTCTGTGGACATCAGCCCTCTCCCGGGTTCCCCTGCAGCCTGCTGAGATTGTCCTCAACTCTCAGGGACAGAGCCGGAGATGGCATCCCCCACTCTGGTTCCCCTGACACAGGTTTCTGGTCACCTTACTCATGCGCTCCATTCCTGGCCTCAGTGCCCACCACGTTCCACCCACCATGGAGCTTAGCCTTCTCTGGCCTCCAAGAGCTCCCTCAGATCCCTGGGTCCCTGCCTTCCCATCATCCAAGCATGTTTTGTTCAGGAGCTGCTCTTAGACATTTCATTACCTCCAGTGGTGAAGACCAGGGAGCAGGTCCCAACTCTCCTCCACATCCAGCTTTCTCCCTCCCCTTCTGATATCAGGTCTGAGTATTCTACCTCTTCCCCAGGTAATTAGCCCCAGACGTGACAGAAATTTCCAGGTGAGAGCTCACCCCCTAGCCATGGGAGTGTGGCTTTATCCTGGCACACATACCATAGAGTAATGACGGTGACTTCACATCACACCATCAGCCAGAGTCACTCACACACAAGAGCACACACAGGGCCCTCCTCTCTCACCCAGGTCCAGTTGCAATCTTAAAAAGTGAAGTCCCTTTACAGATGGGCTTCCTAGGACCACCCATCTGTAAGTCTTCTAGCACCCAACTACCTGCCTGAGAGGTGTACCCAGAGAACTATTTGGCAGAGATTTAAAAAGCAGGTGTTGCTTTAAAAGGCTCAGTTAATTGAATGAAGCACACATTTCTCAAAGTACCCATGTACAAGACCCTCGATTACCTCCGGAATTATAGAGATCAACAGGGCAGGATTGCAGGCTAGGAAGAACTCACAATCCAATGGGAAGGCCAGAACTTTATGAATCATTTTCAACCAGGGCATCCAGGAAGGTTGCTAGAGTAGAGAACATGTAATGCTTTGGAAGTATGGGGCTGGGAGAAATGAATCCTCTGTGTGTGTGGTTGGGGGGGGGTTGGATCTGAGGAAGTTTCCTCAAGGACATTGGGCGGGGCCTCTAGAAGTGGGTAATAGTTCATCTGGAGGCTGTGGTTTAGGGATGAGACAGGTTACAGGGAGAGAGGAGAGGGCATTCAGGGGAGAGCTGAGCAGTGGAATGGAGATGAGAAGCCTCAGCTGCTGGGGCTGGTGTGCAGGATTCATGAGAGGCAGCTACAAGATGGTGGCCCAAGAGGCAGATGTTAGGAAGCTCATGGGTGACTTTGAATATGGAGTCAAGGAATTTGGCTTTTTCCTATGGCCCAGTGCTCTCTTCTCAGTAAAATCAAAGTCTTGG